GAAAATGACTGTTCAACATTTACCGAGGTCATAGGCACATATAGTCTCGACGTTTCTAATAGATGTTATTTTTACTAATGGTGGCGAAGCATCAATTACTTCATATTTTAGTAATCCCTCTATCGGCGTCATGGTACAATAAAATATACTACCTCTGATTTGAAGCTTCGCGTCGATCAATTCATTCGATTCGCATCTAGCCGCATTTCATTGTGTGTGAATTTGACACTTTGCTTGGTCGAGTATATGGCACATGTTTTTATGGTAGTTAGTAGTATTGTGTATGGTGAACATAGAGCGGCACACGGCTTGACCATAGATTTAGTCTGTTTCTGTTACTACAACGTGCATTGCCGCTTAATAGCATAATATAGATTACTACTGTTTATTTATTTTCGCCACAAAGTTTGCGATGTCTACATATAACATAGTGCGGTATTAAATTCACCTACTTGGTCATCCAAATAAAAATCCATTATGCAATTATTTTTTTGCTCAAAATATCTAAAATGAATTTCATCATTTTTTCTTATTTTTGATCATTTTGTCGTAAAAAATAGATACAAAATATAATGTATCTACAATATGGAGAGAGTTGAAAGAAATAAATAAAAATAGAAATATAGTAGATGATTGTTTTATCTTTAGAACTCAATTAATACATTGTGTCAGTAATGCCAATCAAAAAACACATAAATAAATCCTTTTCCAACATTTAATATGTATGGGATGTCTCTAGATGGTCTTAACTCTAGGTGTCAACAAACATTTTTGAGCTGAAAAAATAAATAAAATAAAAATCAAAATTTTTGGAAAGTTTTTTCTAGAAATTGTCTTGAGCTACTAAAAAAATAGCACACAGAAATTTTATTTAGGACTGTCGCGCAGTAAAAAAAAGAAGGAATGCCTTGCCAAGGAGAGGATTCTAACCCCCACAATCTCCAACTTTCGTACGCTACTGCACTCTGTAATGATGTGCCTATATTTCTCCCAGTAAAAAGTTTTACTTCGTAACCGGAAGATTAGACACTTCCTGCAAAAATTATATGAAACGAAATTGAACATTTGAAATTTTAGACAACTTTGAAACTAAAGAAAGTCTCAAACTCCTCTCCTAACACTAGACTTGATATAAATTATATACCTCGATATAATTCACGCGATGCGATTGCCCTCTGCCGCTGTCAGGTCGAATTCTCACTAGTCCGCTAAACTGACGTGCCATTGTGAAATAGCTAGGGTTCCCACGAATCGCAGTGCATCAGTCCAACAAACCCCTACGTCAGAATATTGTAGAATATGCAAGGTATTCCATCATCAAACTGCTTATTATCAGTAGTTTATACTTTACGAAACGAACGCTGTTCCTGCATCACCAAGCAACCCGCTACTCTATAATAACAGCAGCAGTAAATAACATTTGCGAACAAAGCGCAGCGGTGGAATTTGACTTGTACCATCGATTTTAGCGCGGACAAAACGCTGATCCGATTACTAGATTGAATCTGCTCAAAGAGATACTATCGGTTGGAATGTGTAATATTTCAATCGATGACTTATTGTCCGCCGACAAAAGTATTAATTCAGTGGGTTCGCAAACTGTACATAAATTTCTATTTCCTGGTAATTTGCGGTTGTTTTGATATTTTTCGATATTCTTCAAAAACTATGCCGACTAGTTTAATAATACAAGGTGCAACAGCTGCGTTACGATAAAGTTTCGAGGTTGATTCAAAGCAGACGAAAAAAAACCTCAAATTTCGCTGCACTTTCCAATCTAAGTTACAATGCCTTCTCCAGCTCTTCTACGTGATGGCAACCCTGGTAAAAGTAGTTACCGATGTTCGAGAAAACCTTGAGCATCTTCCACAGGAAGGCAAAGGAGCGGGACGGGAAATAACATTTTTACCTAGGTTTCCTAACGAACATTCCACAAAGCTCCCAGCCACCCCCAATCATCAAAGCCGTAGCAGAGGCGTATGCTATGCAGTTTTAAAAGTTCGAAAATTGAAATGTTCTTGGAATATTTCGAAGTACCTGGGGAAGTACAACATAATATTGCACCATAACACCAAACCACACGTTGACAGCCCGTACAACTTGAGCAGGTTCCAAAGATGGGCGAAATCCAGAAAGGCAATTTGTTCAAATATAAGGAGGAGACCGCTGTAGGATCTCTGCGCAACCTATTGACCTATTTTCGTGACTGAAAACATACATAGGTATTATATTCTCGAAACCGAGAGAGTTGTACTAACCAAATTTGGACAGGCCATAGCTAATACAATGCGAAACATCGCTTTATTGTTAAAAATGTGATCACCGCCGTTCTTGGTGGTGAAAATTCGAAATATTTGAAATTATTCAATTTTCGTGGCTGAAAACATACATAGGTATTGTATTCTCGAAACCGAGAGAGTTGCACTAACCAAATTTGGACAGGACATAGCTAATACAATGCGAAATATCGCCTTAATGTTAAAAATGTTGTCACCGCCGTTCTTAGTGGTGAAAATTCGAAATATTTGGAATTCTTCAAATTTTCGTGGCTGAAAACATACATAGGTATTGTATTCTCGAAATCGAGAGAGTTGCACTAACCAAAGGACCCCGCACAAATCTTATGGAAATTGGGTCCCAGTCAAATTCGCTGAATTTTTGATATGTGATAGAGTTCATCATACTGGTCAATTGTCTCAATGGCCACAAAGCTCAAAAATGGATAGTTTGGCCGGTACAGAGCTTTAAAGCTCCGAATATCCTCCACGGATTTATGTATATGCGCAGTGTGTATAGACTTTTGAAATAGCCTATTTCATTTTTTTTATTATCTAGGTTTATATTTTTGAGGTTGCTGAATTCAGATCTGTTGTTAGATTTTCAAAATTGACAGTTGGCAGCTGTCAAATAGCTGTCAATGTGCTATAATAAAGCCAAAAACTTGTTTTTTTATGTTTTATCTTTCTTTTTTTTTAGTTCGATAAGTTCAAAGACGATATCAAATCAATAACAATGACTATCGGCAGCTGTCATTTAGCTGTCAACAATTCTTCAAAGTCCGGTAATAAAGTCAAAAAATTATTTTTTGTTTATAACTTCAAGTTTTTTAGATAAGTGAATATAAATATGATATAAAATTATGTAGTCATCAGCTTACAGCTGTCAACAAGCTGTCAACTAACTGTCAAAATGCAATAATAAAGTCAAAAAGTTACTTTTTTTAAAAAGCTTTAAGTTGCTTAGATCACTGAGTTCAAAAGTGATGTCATAAACTTATATCATGTTTGATTTCTTATCCACAAAGTTAAGCACAAAAAATAAGTTACTTGCTCTATTATTGCATTTTGACAGTTAGTTGACAGCTTGTTGACAGCTGTAAGCTGATGACTACATAATTTTATATCATATTTATATTCACTTATCTAAAAAACTTGAAGTTATAAACAAAAAATAATTTTTTGACTTTATTACCGGACTTTGAAGAATTGTTGACAGCTAAATGACAGCTGCCGATAGTCATTGTTATTGATTTGATATCGTCTTTGAACTTATCGAACTAAAAAAAAAAAAAAATAAATCATAAAAAAACAAGTTTCTGGCTTTATTATAGCAAATTGACAGCTAGTTGACAGCTGCCAACTGTCAATTTTGAAAATCTAACAACAGATCTGAATTCAGCAACCTCAAAAATATAAACCTAGATAATAAAAAAAATGAAATAGGCTATTTCAAAAGTCTATACACACTGCGCATATACATAAATCCGTGGAGGATATTCGGAGCTTTAAAGCTCTGTACCGGCCAAACTATCCATTTTTGAGCTTTGTGGCCATTGAGACAATTGACCAGTATGATGAACTCTATCACATATCAAAAATTCAGCGAATTTGACCGGGACCCAATTTCCATAAGATTTGTGCGGGGTCCTTTAGACAGGACTTAGCTAATACAATGCGAAACATCGCCTTAATATTAAAAATGTTGTTGAAAATTCGAAATATTTGGAATTATTCTATTTTCGTGGCTGAAAACATACATAGGTCAATTCTTGGTGGTGAAAATTCTGAAGAATAATAGAAGCTTGTATATTATAAATATAAAATATAATTGCAAGCATTAATGTCAATAAATCTTAAGAAGAATCATTGAAAAATAATTTTCGATGATTTTGTCAATATGAATACAATACACTAACAAATAGCGACTGAATGATTTTTTTCATTCCATGAATAACATAAAAAAAATTGTTTGGCAAATGTTATCCTAATCTTGTATAATATCTTATTTACACTCCGTGCGTTTCATGGAATTAACCGCATTCGACACCCGAGATAGAAAGACATTGGCGTTTACCGTAGCAGCTTGCACTGCATAATGTGTTTTGCATATACGAAGGCATGATTCTTCGTAAGTGTATCGTTCTGTGCATTTTGGGTGTCCTATGTCCTATTAAAATAAATCAATGGAGGTGAAATATAAAATAAAGGAATTTAATTCCCTGTCGAAGAGTATCGTGTTTATAAATTGTATATATTTTAATATTCTGAAAATAACGCGAAAATTTTCAAAGCACGCACCCGTTGCGGTAAATTGTTGCAGTAGTTCCGATAACAGAACTTTATTGGCTTATTCTTTCCTTGGAATTCTATCTCAACAAATATTGTACGGACTGTAGCTTATTTGTTTTATTTTGTTATTATTTTTATTTAAGTTCTTCTGCGTCTCGATTTTATATTTTGCTTATTATATCCTGTAGTACTTAATGTTTTTATACTTACTTAATGTTAGATGTCCTTTTTTTAATTTAGTACTTTTCTGTTTTATCCTGTTAGTCCTGCAATTGGGACTTTGTCCGTTTTCATACGTTTACGTTCTATATAATTATTTTTCGGTGCCTTATAGGCGTATCGCGAGACCCAGCTGCTACATTCCCTAATCTTTTACATAAACTTGTAACCAATCTATATAAAACAACATTTATCTCTTTTTTTTTGTTGCAGGGATCGAGTTTATAGACTGAACCTGAGCAATATCAACCAATCAAGCTGCGAGGTGAGTCTTCCACACCAGATATACATTATCGTCGCCATTATCCTCCTTGTACGGGAATACTGCCGGTGCTTTACGACCTTATTTGTCGGTATTACGGGGTATATGAGTATACGACTTTCCGTAATACACCCCGAAGCGTATTACCGGCAGGGCCGGTGCCGTAGATTACGCAGGGGGGCCGCCGAACCTCACGAGCGCCACCCGTCATAACGCGTGATGAAGGTGACAGTTTACTACCTTACCGACGCGATGGAGGGCCCGCCGCCACTACAGCGGTGCCAGAGATTATGTGATCCTGATTATGAGTTATTAGACGCGGTGCCATTTTCCCGTGCGTTCGCCGAAGATTGCGAACGGTTTCATGGCCGACTTGTCGAAATATCCATCTGCATTATTAATAGGCTAATTTTTTATCCGTTCTTTATGCGTGCGTGCCAATATTGCCTTTGTTCTTTTCAAATACGCCTTTACTTGCGAAATATATTGCCAAAACAATTTGAGAAAGTATTTATTCGGAATGAAGGATTTTCAGAAAGTTGATCTGAAGCATATAGGGTGATCTTTAAAGTTGTACATAATGTTATGATATTTTGATTTGAAATGAAAAATAAACTTAAAATGAAACCAAAATTTTGAATTTTGACATATTCACACAAAAGAAATAGAGAAAACTGACAACATGGATGTGGAATACTAAATATGAGAAAATGAAGGATAAAATTAAGATATATGGAATAAGTTTATAACATAATAAGACAAAATCGTGTAAATTTTGACCAAATAGGTTGAAAAATGCACCAATATATCACAGAAAAGTACAATAAAGTACATTTTAGTAAAGTCATATATGTCATATTGGATATAGGTTTGAGGAAATTTGAAAAATGGTGGAATGATCGACGGAGAAAGAAGGAATTGCACTTATAAATGTAATTCATGTAATAAACTAAAACTAAAACTAAAGTTTATCATACCTTTAGTCAATATTTATAAGTGGAATCAAAATTAATATTTTTGTATAACTTCATGTAACGATTTTCGGAATGTCAAACCCATATGTCAACTATTATGTAAAATTTGTTGAATAATATGTGTATGTAAGCTGTAAAATGATTTGTGTAGTGTTAAAAAGACCTTCTAGTCATTAAGAACTGTATTCAAATCACAATTTACGTTCCAAGTATTGTATAAACTTTAGAAGTTGTCAAAAATCGTTGAACCTAAAACATTTCAATTAATAACTAATTTAAACTGGAAAAGACTGTTCATAAAAGTGAAAATAAGTAAAAATATCAATGTCGTTGAACAATATTACAGGCATAGAATTGAGCTAGATAGCACAAATTAGTCAACATTTACAAAAATACGCAACATTTGTAGAATGTTTAGATTTGAACGTAGAAAAAAAGAAATACTCATTAAAATATGCATAAAAATGTGTAGAAGCAGAATATGTAATAGTTATGCTGCAAAACATGCATAAAGTCATAATTTCCAATTAAAAATTTCTCAAAAGTTTAATATGACGTTCCCATAGTAACAATCTCAATTGTCTTCAGTTTATAAAAAGCAAAACAAGGCTTGTAGCAGCCAGTCTTTCATAATTTACCAAGCACTAAATATCGTCGAGTTGTGCCAAATTGTGAACTTAGTTACCAAGTTAGAAAACGTCAAATATGTATATCACACAAGGTTAAATGTCAACTGTCAAGAGGTGCAGAATTTCCATAGGTTCAAATTATCACAAGTAACCCTGTACTAGTTGAAAGTTTATACAATAGGAACAAGTGTCAAATAATCAAAAGTGAAAATTATCAAATTGTTGAAAATAAAATAGTGCAGTGCAGTGAAAATTTGCAACAGCAAATTACGTTCAAACTAATTCTGCCGGGTGGAAGGCGAGACATTTGGGGCCAGCTGACAGCGTGGTTTACTACCAGACACGGAAAGAATTACAATAACGGATGGCGAGAATGAAACCAGCAGTACATTATAACGAAATGTTAGTTTTATACACTTAGAAATTGGCAAATTAAAAATAACATTTGAAACAAATTCGTAACAAATTTCAATTCAATAAAAGTTAAATTAACTTTTCAAAAATCAAATTTATCATATTACAATAACAAATGTAAACGGGTTATAGTTTTTAAACATAGCATCAATAAACTTGTTAAATTTTTGAAATATTTTATAAAACCTGTAATATAATTTTCTTATCATGTGCTAAATTGTTTTTTTTTTTTCATTTTCTCATAATTTCAATATATAAAAAAATTACATAATCAAAGGAAACCACACCCTGAAGGAGTTAGCTCTGAATATAATTGATTTTACAAGACAAGTTCTTGTTGGCGCCCTTGTAAGTAATATTCAACAAAACAAAAATAAAATTTAAAAACAATAAACAACATATACAATAAAAACATAACAATATATTTTAAACAGAAATACACTTTATTATACAGGGTGTTCCTGAAATAAGTCCGTTCCTTGAAAAGGGTGACAGAGGGTACGAAAATAAGCTATTAAGCAAGTGATGGTCTAAAATATTACATTTTATATTGAAAAAAAATGTTCACATTTTCCCTGGTGCGGCAGTCAGATGTACCTTTGATGTCGAAGCTGCCGCGCTGCGCAGTTAGAAAACGCTGATGGCAGATTTGACGGTTTAAATTTTGTGTTCGAAAATGCTGAAATTTATTCAAATCTCCTTTAAAAGTAATAACACAAAAATTAAACGAATAAACGAATTACTTACTAATAGACGATATGCTCCACAAAAATTGTTCAAAGTTATTTCCATGTGCTAATATATATGCTCACACCAATATTGAATGTTGTGAAAATCTAGACATTCCCGGTAGGTATACCGTAATTTTTTAACTGCCTTTTGCACTGTTCTACTGTTACGGTAAAAGACCGCATACAAACGACAAGTCTCATTAAAGTTGTACTGACATTCTCCATACATTAACACCATATCTGCTAGTTCTTGACCAGAAAACATTTCGTACGCCGGCTAAGCAATAATACAACACACAACGCACGTGCACAAGATGCACAGGTTCAGCTTACATCCGCTTTCTAACAGTTGATTTAAAAATGTAACTGGTAACGCTGATAAGAGGTGATATAACTTACCACGCTAATTCCTTGTGACCCGGTTTATGCAGTGCAGTGGTGGCTTAAACAAAAATGTAAGTGCAATTTCAAAATGGAATTACTATTTATTTTGTAAAGAAAAGTTTAATTTAAAAATTGTCCTTTGTCTAGAACACGATGACGTTATACCGTAATACGAAAATACCGTATATGAAAATACCGTTTTTCACTGTAATATTTGTTCATAATAAAGTATTTAAAAACCTGTTTAGTAATTTTAATAGCGAAAAAGCATAAATTTGCACTGGTTTCATGGCAATCTAGACTTTAACCATTGTATAAATAACCCAAAACTGTGTGGAAACTGTTATTGTAAATATGTGACATGTGCATATTACTGCAATCGGAAGAAGGAGAAGATTCCAAATGAACACTCTGTACACCTTAAAGATTTACTCTGTATTTTTCACATAGTATTCACTTAAAGAGTTGTATCTTCAAATCTCAAGTTCAGTGTGTCCAATTCATAACAATAGCGACACATTTTAGACAACTTACAAGAAATTATAGCCTATACCTTAATAACGTTGAAAAATGTTTGTACATGAAATAAAACCCAATATTCTGTATATTTATCCCTGCCTACATACCTTTTCCGTTCGATAATTGGAATTCTTTTGCAGTTGTGCACTTCCGGAGAATTATTGCTTCCAATATTGGGCAATTATTGATATTTATTTACGACCTTTGTATTTCATAACGTAATGTATCACCTTTTCCCATACGTAGCGAGCAGCAGCTGAAGCCTTTAGTGCTACATAATTTTTCGAATATTTTGAACACAGATGTTTGTTGCAGTATAGGCATATGTCGCAATAAATAATATATAATAATATATTTTTTTGTAAATTATTATCTTTGTTGCTAAATATGTATGTTCCATGCGGGATATCTTTTTGATGTTATGAATTGTAAAAACCTTCGACTCCTTCGGCAAATGTTATCAGGAAAACGATCTAAAAATGATTTAAGTTTCTTATATCTTGAAATATTATATTTTACATTTATCGAGTATATTTTTTATAAAATTGATCATCATTTTTTTTGTTAAAAGTAAAAAAGACCCAAAAAACGTTTTCCGAAAAAGAATTAGTTTTATTTGTGTCCAGTCCGTAGAAAGCCTAAAATTTGTCATATCCGCTTTGTCTGTTACATTATTTGCAAATTGAGTAATTTCAGGTGAGATATTCTTATATGTTTGAATCATTTGAATCATTAATTTATTCATTTTGAAGTAAACAACATTTATAATTTGAAAACAAACACACTTAACCTTCAAAATTACTATAAAACATGTCAAGACTAATTGTATTTTTTGAAACTGGAACTTATAGATTTATTATTAATTCCATAACAAGGGCTGAAATATTTGATTATTCTCTGACAAAATATCTTGCACCGAGCCCGCGTTTGTTTTCTTTTGTTTCGCATCAAAGGGCATATTCAACAGTAATTTGTACCCTCTTTAGATATACGTGATGCGATGTGGAATCGAGAATTAATAACTAGATTTGGGAATTCGAGGAAAACGTCGATAAATGCCTTTTGAGAGCTCCACTCGAACAAATTCAATGTATAACATTCAACAACGTGCTATTTACTTCTAGGAAAACCATAAAACAATACTCGTTAAAACTCTTTACCTCCAATTGAACAATATTCAGTGAAAATATTATTAGAAACGAGAAAAACCAGTGAATGCTTTTAGCTGTTTCCTGTTAATGATGCCCGATCCGATTTTGTTGTGTAGGACAAGGGGGATATTTCTAAATTTGACGGCTCGGTGCACCCCACACACTCGCCAAGACGGAAATAATCATTGATTCCGTGATCAA